AGTAAAACAAATGAACGCTAAAGAAAAGTGCTTCTTTTTGATCATCGCTTCTGTTCGCAAAATGGCACTTTTTGATTCATTCGAATAAAAAAACAGATTAACAGTTTGTAATGCATTTTATTACATCTTGCATCTTCAGAGTGGTGCTGCAAATTTTTGAATTAGATAGAATTAAAACAACGTAATGCAAACAGTGCAAATAAATCAAGTAAAATTAAAGCATAGGTAAAAAATGATTGCAAAAACATTGCGACTTTAAAGATAAGCTCGGCTTGATGGAATCAATGCAATTACCGTTGTAATAAATTGTCTCATGTCCGGACCCCGCCCAGATTGCCTTGAAAAAATTTTGCCAGAGAAAATTGGAAAGTATTTGCCGGCAGTAAATCGAAATTTTCACGTGGCAAGTTTCACGTGCTTGAAATTTCAGTTCAATTGCCAATAATTGCTAAATGTAGCAGGCACATTAGCGGCCGGGCAGGCACGTTTTCCGTGCTGAAACATGCACTGTTGAAGAATACGGTACTTAAAACTAGAGTTATGCATTTTAACGAACATATTTGCCTACTGAAAATGGAAATTACAATGATTGCTTGGGAAAAACACTGTTTCGCACACAGTTTAAATCCAGGGAATTGCTCTAAAGCTTCTGGAAAATACTAAAGAAACACTCGAAAAATTGAATGGGTTGCTCAACGCAGCGCCATTCTGAAGATGCAAGCCGCTTGTGATTGCAAAACGTCCCAAAACCCTGAAAAACTCGCCAGTTTTCAATCGAAACTGCATCAGTAACAATTGAATGAGCCAATAGAAGACGAAATAGTTGCATGTTTATTCCATAAATGATGGGCTTCCTGCCAAGTGTTCTCAGTTATTATGTGCTGAAGATAAGCTGATAACGATTTGCAATCGAACTCCTCTCACACCTGCAGAAGTTCGACAGGATATGAGAATATGGCAGCGCACCAAACTGAACCAACAAACAATGCTTGTTTTAGTTTTGAAAATGTCGCAACCTATCGCATACTAATAACTGTTGGCTGTTAATTTTCAATTATTTATCGAGTTATTGTTTGCCACAAGGCCATTTGTTGCGAACGTGTTCAATGTACTAATGTTTCCAGTTTACAGGGGCTTTGTTTTCCCAATTCTTTCTCTGTGACAATGCGGTCGCTTTAGTTAATGGCAGGCGAATTGTTGCAAAATTTCCCAGTAAAAGGTTGAAAAGTCGCGGAAGTTCAAGATGATTCAATTGATGATGATGATGATGATGTAGCCTGAAAACCCAGTTAGCTAATGTCTTCTGGTAACATATTCCAGGTGCCACCTTTGCGCCTATTGCGAAACATCAATAAATCGTTGTCTTTACCACAGAGGTCAAGTGTTTGTCCATTGGGTTTCCACAAACTATGCATTCATGGTTTTGCGAAACTTTAGGGAAAAAGATAAAAAATCCACGATTGTCTGTTTAATTGGGTAAAGTACGAAAACAAGTGTCGTGAAACATGTCTGTAAGTACTGTTAGCTGGGTTATTTACCTACATTGTAGAAGGTCGTAAATTTAGCGAAATGTAGTATGCATGTTGAGTAATTTGGATGTTTTGTATGTTTTCAACTGTGTTCACTTTGGAATTTGGTATTATTAGATTTTTATTTGGTTGAAAACAATCTGGGAACATGTGGATTGACTTGTTGATAAGGAAAATCCCCGCATCTTTTTGAAAATTATAATTTTTGCTAGTTTTGCAAATTTTTGCTTCGGGTTTTTTGGAGGCTACGAATTGCTGATGAAGTTTTATTAGCCAAATACAGTTTTTATCTGCTGGAGACAAGCGCTTTTGAACGTCGACCATTCCTTAAATCGTCACATTTTTGCTTCTAACTCTTTAAATGTTAGAAATTTCTGATAAGACCTGATGGAAAAAGCGACTTTAAGAGACCGACCAGTTTTAAAACATTTGAGGATTTTTGTGGGTCAAACCCCCATCTTTAATTTTAAAAAGTTTTCTATAAATTTTTTTCCGGAGATTTCGGGATCTTTATGATGAAAAATGTGGGGCTCCTCTATTTTAAGAGGAGATTTTCCAAAAACGTGGGTCTTGACTCTTGAGACGCTCTAAATCCGAAAGTCAGAAAGTGATTTGAGTTCTAAAAAATGAATCTTTAGGAAAATTGAGGCCCCTCTTAAAGAAGCTTTTTTCGATTAGTGCCGTTCGTGTAACTTTTCTGAGAAAATTAAGTGAAAACTGGAACATTCGGAAAACAGTGAATTTAACCGCATAAAATGACTGAAATTTATCAGATCGAAAAACGAAAACTTTATTTTACACTTTCCAGCAAAAAAATTACTGTTCTTAAGCATAATTAGTTAACAATTCCATAGCAGATTAGGTGCTTGTCTGGTGTAAAAACGTACACACTTACCATGATATACAGAAGCAACGACACGAGTAAAAGCACGATAAATTGTTCGCAATTTTCCCAAGATAACTCCAATCTAATCATTGAGATCGAAACAGTGTTTAAATGCGAATTATGGAGGGAAATCAGCGAATTTCGAGGGCAATTGAATGGAACTGCATTTAAAAATCGAAAACTGCATCAACTTCTATTGTATGCACTGATAAGCAAACCGACTGGTATTTAGTCGACGACACCAAAACCACAAATGCCACATAAACTATGTATAAAAGCATGCTTTAGTTCGTACATGTCTATTTTCCATAATATGCAGAAACAGTTACAAGAGCATGGAAAAAACGTGCAAGTGGCTGTTATAACTGGAATTATTATTCTGAGTTTTTTCTGCTACTGGGACAGGCTAATTATGCGCTATGCTAAATTGCTTATGGTTCAGAGTAGAGCGCGGATAACTTGAACCTTGCACATGCCGGGATGGGTCTCATTAATTCCCAAGATGTTCTCAACAATAATAAAGTCCGAAGAGTGAAACGATCCTTTTTAGCAGCCGCACAAAGGTTAAACAGCTGGAACTGTTTCAAAATGTTTGCTTGAGGCAAATAAACGCACTTTTGATCAATTCGTATCCACTAAAAGACTGGTGGAAATTATGTCGTTTCAAAGGACACCAAAAGGTTTTGAGAGCATCTTTCTGATTTATTTTTTTTACATCAAAATTCCAATTTTTTTATTAAACCCAAACTATGTAAACCCGGAATATAAAATTAACGATTCGATTATCGGGGGTAATGGCACAAGTGCTTCAAAATTACCGATAATTTTGCATGAAAGCTTGTTGTTTAAAAACTGCAGTTTTTACAAGACAACAAGCTCGAATGCAAAATTATCTGTTTATTTTTATGCACGAGTGTAATTTTTATGAATATTTCCTGAGTAAACAAAGTTAATGTGGATTAATTGTATTTCTATTATATTTTAATACACTTTTAATTTTATTACTTATGTTTATTAAATATAATTTGAATATGTTCCTCAGGAAGACATTTGATGTCTAATTCAACATGAAGACACCAAAAATATTTTTCGTAAACAATGCAATTATCGTTAAGTGATAATTGCACACTGTGCAATTACCGCTGTAATTTTTCGATAATTGCAGACTTCAAACGGGCAGATTATCATACGAAGGAAATATTCATGTTAAATGCATGTCTAAATATACATACTCAAGCGGGATTGTTTGTTCTAAGTTTCTACGATTATCATTTTCTGTTCATTGTGCTTATTTATCAGTTTAATGTATATTAGTTGTGCAAATAATCCGAAGCTTTGGTTTAGAATGCGCACCGGAAGTACACATTGCAACCAGTTGAATGCAACTTCATCACTTTCTCGACCTTATTTGCTTAAATAATTCAGTAGACCAGCAAAATCGTAGTTTTTGGCACCAACTTTCACTAAGGTTTTCCTGGATCAAACCCTCTAAAAAACGCCAATTTTCTTATTAAAAATAATTGTTATTGCTGAGAAAATGTGCCAATCGTTGGCAATATCACGTGGTACAATTACCGTTTATCGACATAAATAAATACGCAGTTCGGTAAGCTAATTTACATACCTTCGTTTATCATTTTCTGCAAGCCAACATGACGTGGGCACTTTCCCAAAAAAATAATTCATAGGCAGATGAAGAGCTCTTAATTGAACAATCATCATCGATCGTTAGAAATAACCAATGAAAGTATAAGTTTTCAAGGTTTTCACATGGAATGTTTTATTAGCAACGTTTTTCTTTCTCTTTGGTAAATAATCATCAGATTTCCAAGGCCATGAGAGACTAATTACGGTATTTTATGACAGATTGCTTATATTCTTGGTAATCCACACGATTGGTAAAAGTTTTCTGGATAAAGAGCGGCATTTTTCAATAAGTCTTTCGCCTGAGTCTCAAAGAATCACCGATTTTAGGAAAAGGAAAAAATCAGTTTTTTCCCATTTAGTAGTAGACAAAAATTTCTACTTTTTCTTAATCGAATTTTCTGTCCAGATGCTGTTAGTTACAGGGGGTTTTTCAAGTTGCGCTTTTAGTGTGTGCAAAAGTTTTCAGTGCGATTTCTTCTTTTTTTTTGTTTAATTCTTTAACAAATTGCTTGATTGAAATCGATAGGATTTCCTGCAATCCTCATTTGAAGTGTTTATTTTGCAAATTTTCCATTTTAACTTGCCAAAGCATTCATTCGAAGGTTTCTTCTTTATAATTCGCTTCATTCTTTCCGCTTGAATTGCATTTCTGTTTAATTTCAGGTGCCTAAAAGTTTGGGTAGCAATTTTTCAAAAGCATCTTCTTCATTTAAAAAAAATGTTGGTTGCAGTGCTTGCGAATCGCATTGTCTATCAATGTGTTTTAATTTCCCTGAAGTATGTTGAAATGTTCTATCAAGTCTAGAAAATGTGTGAACTTGTCTTTATCAATTTTCAATTGTTAAATGTAATGCATTGCAAAAGCCATTAGTTTTATCTAAAGCATATTGAATTTTATCGTTTGGCCCGGACACCGTTCACATTCGCATAAAGCTGAAAGTTGATAGTTTAAACTGAAAGGAAGAACTTTTAAAAATCATTTAAAATATCGGAATGTGAATCATTTTACTTCCACAAAACCCTGCAATTATCAAAACAATAAAATTCGTCATTTATGTTCCCAGAAAAACCGTTTAAGCGAACGGCTGAGATAAATGCGGGCTTCCACCCTCTACTCTACACCACTGAGTTKYGTTGCAAAGTTKTTCGCCTTGCACAACTTTTATGTGCCGATGATTTTCATGAATACAGAACGCGAAATATCGAAAACGAAAATACCCTTGCGTACGTTTCGCAATCATTTGCCTGATGAAATACATTTTAAACAGCTTTAAAAGTAGGACAGTTGCGGCTGATCGTTTGCTATGTACACAAAAGCGTTAATTGGCAACGAAATGATAAGTGGTAAAATTATAGTTAAATTCTGTGAAATGGTTGTCTCTGAAGATGCCAACCATGCGCGCTAGCGAAACGTCAGGACCGAATTTTCATCGACAGCGGGCTAAAAAACCTTTACCATGTAGCTTTCTTTGTAAAATTTCACATTGGATTACAATTATGCGTTTATGGAATGGTTATAGAAATAAGTTTTGTCCTGACGTTTCGCTAGAACGAATTCTCATTCTTCATTCAAATCTTCATTGAAATGAATGAAATCAAAATTATTTTTTCATTCAGCAACGCAGCTGGCATCGGTTTTCTCTCTCGCGCGTATGGGAGTTTATAGAAGCGGCACGACGGCCAGTGCGTGACTACGTTCCAAACTGATCCCTTTGCGACTTAAAATATCTCTAGAAAAAAAATTTTCGTTTCGAAAAAAAGTTTCGAATTGCATTTTATGGTATTGGACAAAAGTCTTTAGAATCAAATTTCGTTGACGACGGCAGGCTGAAGCGCATTTTTCGATATTCGCTCGAGAACGATTTTTGCTTTGATTGCGACGAACTGAAACAATTTCGTCTTAAGTAACTGAATAAAGTTGCTTTATTTAATGGGCCCAAAAAAGCTAATTTGATGTTTTACCGATTAGCGACGTTAATCTTGGATAAGCAACGATTTGCTTCAGGTTTTTTCAACAATTTAATCAATGCAATTGCTACACCCGCAAGTTGCCGTACTCATCAGACACGAACAATTAAAGCGGCTTGTTTCCCATAATCTATGAAATTTGTTATGATATTCCGCTTTCATTTCTAATTAGACCCTTACATAATTTGCTTTGCTTCCTGGTCGGTTTGAGTGAATATTGAATCAATTTGACATTGGGGCAATTATTTTCATTTTTATCTGGACCAACGTAGGTTTTAACTGGTTGTCTTTTGCAGTCTGGTTAGGAGATATCTTAATTATTATTATCTTTATGCGGCGTTTGTGGGTGTGTGTCCTTCCTACTTTTTACAGTTGCAAATTCCACGCTGCTCTTTCAATCCGGTGTTTATTTCATCCGATTAAACCTGTTTGAAAACGGAAATATCGTTTGTAATATACAGATTTTGATGATTTTAGACTTTCGTTTGGGGATTCAGAGAAAATGTGCGTTTTTTCAACCAACCGTTGATCCAGAATTCAGAAGTTTTCTTAAGCCAGCACATATTTTCAGGATGTTTCTTCAATTTCTTCCTATTTGGTTTAATTCTTCAATATTGTGTGTTGCTAGTGCAAGTTGGAAACTCGATTTCCCGTTTCGTCGACGACCATCAGACATTTTTCAGAAAATAAAATACGTTCTTAAAATTGGTTTGAAACAAACAAACAACAAACAAAGATTAGAAATTAAAAAATGTGAAATTTCAGCAGCATTTTTGTTTAAATCTCCGTACAAGCTACCTTTTGTCATTATGGTAGTTTAGTCGTTAGAATTTCAACCAATCAAGTGTTTATGGTCGTGTTGAATAATTATTGTCTTCAACAATCAACATTCTTCCAGTTAATCTTGATGGGACTGAAAAAGTCTGTAAGAAAAATTAAAAACCGCATTAAAACCTCATTAAAAGTTTGTAGTGAAAGTGCTGCTTAGATGTCGAAGATAACTGAGGCAAAAAGCGGCGAATAAAAAGCATTTTACGCATTTACATTACTTTCAAATTGGTTCGATTTCCATGTAATTGCGTTTGCAATTTTTCGGTTACTTGTAGAGCGAAGGAAAAAAAGCATAGAAGGTACTAATTGGATCTGCGAAGTGAAGCGCAGTGCCGATCATCGACAGTACCTATTATTTTAAAATTAATTGTAGGCTTTTGGGTCGGTTTATATTCTCGAAATTGAGGCTGCAAGTGAACGCAACTTCGGTTAAATGAAGCAACAACACTCACGTTTTACGTTCTAATTGAAGGTGGTTTTTTGTCAATGTAATTGACGATTTTTTTTTTAGAATTTTAGAATTGAAACGTGTAATTTTCACACTACTTTCTTACAAATTACCCTGTTAAAATGATTATATCTGAAGGAAAACCAGTAGTGTTTGAGTAACGGTTTTGGAATCATCAGTTTGGCAAAGTCCAGATAATATGAATAATGAGGACTTTTTAGTGCAAAGAAAAGTGTGCGACTTAAATGTGCTAAATCCACACTAATTAATCGGTCATCCAGTATATAATTCACCTTTTCTTATCTAAATCAATGTATTCCTACATGTCCTCGAAGTGCACGCACTGTCAACGAAAAATCGTCACATTGTTCCCATTCAAAATCAAAACTCTTTTGAACTTTGACCACTCGTTTAACGTTGATGACTGTTTGTCCGTTGATCATCCACTATCCAAAACCAACAATCGTCTATCACTTAATCAAACAAATCGTTATGTTTACAACCGAGTTTAATTCAACAATTAAGCGAGTTGGCAGTGGCGAATTTGTTGTTAATCGCGCATGGTACTGGGGTACTGTTGGGTACCGCTCAAAATAGTACCTTACCGCTACATAGTTGGTTGGGTGCTCGTTTTTCTTCGGGATCTTCCGAGCGACCGGTTCATTTGCTTCAACCGCCATCGTCGATTAACATTCCAATGGGAGATTGATTATTTCCAACTTTTAGTCTGGGCGATAATCAGGTACTGGTGGTACCAAACAGCAAAGAATCTTCAGCTTCAAGTAGTTTGAAATAGCGAAACTGTTGCGGGAGCTGCAAGATCAGGTTACGACAATTTTGGGAAATTTTTCAAATCACGCGCACTTTTAGCGCCGTTTCGCTGCTGTGCAAGCGCTGGTTCAAAACTTTGCCGTTTGAATGTTTGCGCAGCTCGAGATTCAGCGAGAAAACTTGACTCTACGTCTGCTGCAAGTTTGAAATTTTTCCGGAGCCCAATAGAATTTTGGAATTTTCCAAGTAATCCGCACTTTGAGCTCTCTATTGGCAGGCTCTGGTTGAAGAATTCACTGTTTGGCTCTTGCTGCAGATAGAGGGCTAAAGTTTTTTCTGAAACTGAAGCAAAACCAACTCAACCTGCGAAGACTTTGGTAATTTTTCAAAAATCGCACACTTTTAGGTGTCTTTTGCTGCTGTGTAGGCTCTGTTTCAAAACCTCGCCATTTGGCTCTTTACACAGATAGAATGCTAATATTTTCTCTGAACATAGAGCAGACTTGACTCTAGATTTGATGCTAGTTATTATGTTGGGTGACTGACGGAATCTTAGAAAATGTTTAAAAATCGCACACTTTTAACTCTGTTTTGCCTCTGCGCAGGCTCTATTTCTATTTCTTCTTTCTTGTAGTTTGGCTCTTTTTATAGATAGTGCGCTAGAAAGTTTTCTGGATACAGAGCAAACCCCACTCTAAATGTGGTGCAAGTTTGACTTTTTTCAAGATTCTTCAAGAAAACTTAATTTTTCAAAAATCGCGCACAATCGGCTCTTTGAATTTTTCAATCTCTCTCGAGTTTGAATTTTTCAAATAATTCGCACTTGGAACTCTCTAGCGATGTGCAGGCTCTGATTCACAAATTCACTGTTTCGCTATTGCGGCAGATAAGAGCGCTAACATTTTTTCTAGAAATCAAACAAATCCGACTCTATATCTGGTGCAAGCGTGAAGTTTTTCTGAAGCCTGCGACGACTTTCGTAATTTTTAAAAATAAGCACACTTTTAGCTTTCTTTTCCTGCTGTTTAAAAACGGTGCCTGAGGGAGTTTTAGAAATTTTTCAAAAATCGCTCACTTTTGACTCTCTCACTCAGGCTCTATTTCAAAACTTCGTAGTTTGCAGTTTACTGCTCTTTCCGCAGATAGTGAGTTGGAAAGTTTTTCTGAACATAGGGCAAACCAGGATTTTTTTTGGAATTTCTCAAAAACCCTCAGTTTTATCTCGTCTTTGCCGCCGAGAATTGAACAAAAAAAGCGAAACAATTTGCAACGTATTTTAATAATTTTGCTGTTGATAAAAAATTTCACTATAGCGTTCTTGCTGGCGCCTTCAGAGTTATGCTGCGCGGAGCAAACCATCTCTGATGATGTACGCCACCCGTGCTTGCGAAACGTCAGGAACAATTTCTTTTTCACGAAAAACTCATCGGTTTCGCGCGATGGGTACCAACGTTTAACTCTCTGGATCATTCGATTGGAGTTTAAAGCTCAACTTTAAGCTCAAATTTTCGGGCGAATATTGGCTTTGATTTTGTGAATGAAGGAGCGTGACATGCATTATCAATGAAAGCTTTACTGCTAAATACTCAGCCCAAATCCTCAAAAATAAGGCCACTTGAGTCATGAAATCGTACATTGATTCACTCTGTGGTATTTCAGCATCCGGTTGATGTATGTGCTTATTGGCTCGTTCCTATCTATACGGTTTCGGTGTTAAACATTATACTTGTCCTGTAGTCCGGAAGAAATGTGGATTTTTTTACGGATTTATGCCAATATTTGTATTTTTGTTTAAGCCACTTGCGCGTTGTTTTCACTCGCTTTTACGATGAGAAATGATCTTTTTCCAACAACTCTAAATTTGGAGCGAAATACCCCAAAAAATGTGTAATTTTCTGTTTGTAATTAAATTAGAACCGAGAAGACTTACGAAGATGAAAGCGCAAAAAATGTATTTTTGATAGCGCGGATTTGAACGTATTCAAGTTTCCTGCAGTGGAACTGGGGGATATTCAAATTATTCCTGCAACCCTGGTAAATGAATGATTTTTTAAATGCACAGGGCGCATGAATCCTCAAATCGGGTAGCAACGAGTGTACAAACAAAAAGTATTTAGTGTTTTTAGAGGCCAACATGAGTAGAGGGTAAGTTAGAATGATTTTATTTTATAAGATTGAAATTGTGTTATAAAGCGTACATTTTATAATTGTATGAAGTTTTGTACTGCTAAGGGTTTTTTCCAATAAAAATGGCTTTTAACTCAATGATTGCAACTCATCTATAGATTTTGGTAAATGATCCAACAATTGATCGGTACAAGGCATGCACAGGCTGAATTTTAAAAAAGTAGCGCAAATTAACAAATATGTATATTTGGTCTGACTTTTTTGCAATTTTTGCAGCTTTAGCTATGGAAGCAACATGCAAATTAAAACCTTTTACAACCGTTCACTCTGTTAAAAAGAACCGTTTGTGCAGATCGTTGGAATAGTATTTTCCCGATTCAATTCGGTTTTTAATAAACATTTGCATATTTACTTTTACGTCCAACTTGAGTTGTTTATTTGAAAATTCTAATAATTGAAGGTCGTTGTTGGCCTTGTGCTCATCTCTTTTCCATGACGCCCTAAAGACCCGAAAACGCTCCATTTCGTTTGATAATCTTTCTTTTTATTGAAATTTTCAGAGAGTTGGGAATTTCACGATGGCTAGAAGCCCACACAGATCGCAGCGCAGGCTTAACAACGTTACCAGGAAACATGGTTCTTGCAGATGTAGCAGGAACCGGCGACTATCACTTGGTTCTTACCGATTTGAAGTTCAACCAAGACACCAAATGCCGGCTGAAGGTTTACAAAGGAACGTTGCTGGTTTCTGATCAACCCTTGCCGGATATTCCCAGTTCTGTAGTGAGTTTTTATGCTGATCAATTAGAGCCGAGAATACCCGGTAAGGTAAACATTAATTAATGGAGTGGATCAGGTAAAATCAGTCTGCATAGTTGTGGCTGTGGCATGCGGATCGGAACTGTTTGCCTACAAGAATCTGAAGCCTTTTTACAAGTTTCGCGTGCCGTTTTGCCCCCTTGTTGATGAGGAGGCCGGCGTTTGGACTGAAGTGACCAACAGCGAGAGTTTTGGGGCAGACAAACTAAATGCCTTAAAGGCCATTCCGTATGCAAGTTTAAGTGCCAGGTGAATATGGGTTTATTTAACCCCCCGAAAATAGCTGAAAAACTGCAATTTCAGATCGCAATATATTTTGAACCAGACTTCCCCAATCCTCGTGGAGGAATTGCTGCGCAAATGTGGCAAAACCATGCCAACTAAGGAGAATATAATCACTTGTATGGCTTCAATGGCACGCAGCTCCAGAGATAGAAGAGCGATAGCTTGTCCTATCATAGCCACTGAGTTTGGCAGCATTTTCGTTCTAGATCCGCAGAATTTCGCCATTCTTCACCAAGTAGGGCCTGCACCATATCATCCAGCGTTTGCAGGATTTTCGCTTTGCAGGCCAACACCTGCAACGTCAAAGCAACCCCCTTCATCATAAAAAGCACCGGGTTGTTCGATGTGGAGTTTCGGTTGCTGATCGCGACCAGAGAAGGGCACATTTGCCTCCTAAGAAAAGGCTGGCTGGAAGGAAAGTGCCTCATCCAACTCACTTCAGATATAGTCGACATGGTGGCGGTGCCGGGGGACAATTTTGTAATTGTGGCCACTTCCGATAAGGCTTTGCATTGCTATTCAAAAAAGGCTAGAAACCAGGAAAACCGCGGTCGAATCGCTGCTTTATTGGAAGTGATTTTCTAGGGCCAGCGACTTTGGTCTACAACTACAGCAAACCTTGTAACTTGCATGAGTTTGGTTCCTTTGGAGCACATCAGCACTTGCATGGTGGCCATCGGGCTGAAGAACGGCTCTATTCAGCTCTACCAAGGCAGGCAACCAGTGGATTTTACTTCCGTGGCCGATTCCCCATCGGTTATTACATTCGGGCAGTTGGGACAAGAGGAACATGTTATGGTAGTTATTACAATAGGTACAACAGAACAGAGTCTTGCTTGCGTACGCAAGCAAGATGAGGAAATGCTGCTTTTAGGGGGGTCGATCAGCTTCAAAATTCTTAAACGGACCGCGGATTTTTCCTCGAAAGTACAAGAGAACTCCCCGATGTTGCAATCGAGGCCGCTGCCATTGCCTAAGAGAAGCAAGCTGTTTTTGGAGCAGAGCATTCGCGAGAGAAAGAATGCCTTAGGTAGGAAAGGCTGGAGTGTTTCTTCTAGAAGCTGGCTGTTTTTTTTCTTAGAGATCCATCAGACGTTCCAGCAAGACCTAATAAGACTGCGCCTGTCGGCAGCCAGAGCGCTGGTTCAAAATCTCAGCGATCAGTCGGGAATCGGCAATGAAAAGGAGCAGCTCAAGTTGTCAGCGCAGGCAAGGGTTGGTTTAATTTTGAAAAAATCGGGAAAACCTTTAGGTTCCAGGTGTTGGGGCTTGGGCCCAAATTTACCGTTATACTTAGTCTGGAGAACATCAATCCCAATAACCCGTTGGTTGGTTTGTGTGTGACTTTTCATGTGAATCCTTTATATTATGTACTGTCTTTATATGCTGCGAAGGTAAGTGTAATGCGCTTAGGTTCTCGACTTTAGGAAGGGTTTTAGATGCGCTCTCCTTCAGGTGCCTTTGATACCTCCGAGTTTGTCGTATAAGCTGGAAACCAAAGTGGAAGAAGTGATTAAGGAAGGTGTGGAAAGTGATGACTTACCAGTGGGAGGAGAAAAGGGAAATTGCAAAGTAATCCGGGTTTTTGTCACGAGGGAGCTAATGCCTGTACCAGTGCTGGCTGCCACCATAAACATGCCGCCTACTGAACTGATTGTTTAATTAAAATTTGGTTGCAAAAATCTGCGTTGATTCTTCCTTAAGCTGAGTTTTTGGCAAGTTACTTTACACCTGCAGCACACAAATATTACAGTAATATTTTTTTGCAATATTTAATATAGGTTGAAGCGACAGATTCTTGAATATTATAACAATATTTCTTTGACATTTAAATCAGATATTTAAGAAACATTATTTAAAAATATATATTTTACATTTAAATCAGATATTTACGAAATATTTTTTTGCAATATTTAATATAGGTTGACGCGACAGATTCTTATATATTATAAAAATATTTCT